CTGTCATGAGTAATATAGACAGGAATGGACAGTCTTGACCAAACCCAATATCATTTAAAGTTATAGAAAAAAGCTGAGAGGAAGGATAAGTTCCTAGACTTTATAGTTTTAGACGATTTTTTATGACCTTTTAAAAAGGATAGTAATGACCCCTTGCTTTTTTTTAAATAAGGATGAGATTTAAATATGTAAATAATTTGTATTTAATATAAAATCCATATTCGTTTTGACAATAGTTATTAAATAAATAAAGAAGACGAGAAAAAAGAATTTTTTTTTTTAGATTATTCTATTATATAAAAATAGTTTATATTAAATAATTTTATATATTATTATTTAATAATTGATCTGTGAATAATTTCAATCATCATTTTTTGCTCCTTTTTACAAGAATAGTTATTCAAGATTCTCGTTTTCTTATGTTGAAAATTTTGATCCCTTAATACTACAACAATCAGCCTGTAAAATTGGACTTCTAGCAAAGGTTTTACTGCAAACTGGTTTTCCATATTTTTCTATTATCCTTGAACCTGCATCATAAATATTAATAGACCCATCTTGCAATCCTATAATAAATAATTTTCCACAATTAGAAAATGCAACACATGTAATTAGTGATGAAAATTGATTAATTATATATTTTACTTAGTTTGTTTTTTTATCTATCAATTTTAAGCTCCTCCCTTAATCAAAAAATTCTTTTTTATATAGTTCTATTTTTTATAGATTAATATTAGGAAATTCGATATTTTTAGATCCAAAAAAGCAAATTTCTGTAAATTCCTCAAATAAATATTCATATACTAAATTATCTTTTCCAATAACTTTAATAACTTATGTATCTTCATTAATCTAAAATGCTTTTACTGGTACTTGCTGTTTTAAAATTACTTTAACATTACTCTACAAATTCCAGCATCTTAGTTTTTGATCCCTCCCTAATCCATATAGAGTTTCTCCATTTGCTGAAAAGGACAAAATGCTGGACTAAGTAGATGAAGTTAATGAATTACCCTCAAGAATCACAAGAGCCTACTTTGAGATAAGATCCCAAATATGAAGTGAATCTCTACTTTAGACTGCTAATAACTACTTATTATCAAAATAAGCAGGAGTATAACTTATGAATTCATTTTCCACAGGATATGATTGTAATTGGATTATGGATTAATCTTTGTGATATAAGTAGTATTGATCGTAAGAAATATCAATGTAGGCACGTGGAGGTTGTACTTCTACCCAAAGAATGAGAAAGTCATCATTATTGTGAGAAAAAGCATGAACAATCTATAAAGCTCCGGTAGTTTTAGAAGTATATTTTTAAAGTAATGTAAATTTATCACTAACATCCCAAAGTCTTATTTCTCTATTCTAATGAAATGAGATTAATATTTTGCTATCTCCTGAAAATACCATTGTCAATATTTTTAATTAGCTACTTGTCTCATCTTTTAAAATGGCTAGCTATTATTTTGTTTATATCGACCATAATATGATAGAAAATTGGAAATCTTCAAGAGCCACTTTAGAGGAATCTTTAGATATTGCTATTGCCCCTATTTCAGAATTTATATTTATATTAACATTTTCAATTTCTTATTAAATCTTCACAATTTTTAATGGAGATTTGGATATATAAAATTTTTAGTCAGGAGACATCAATATGACATCCTTTGAATCTATAAAATTCATCTGGTTCTGAAATTTACAATATTAAAAAGCTATTTCTAAATTCCAAATTAAATTAATGTGAGATTTTTCAACAATTATATGTTTTGATATTAATTAATTATTTTCGACATCAAAGTAAAAATCCTTACAATTAGCACAAAATATTTGAAAGGTTCTTTCAATCAAATGTTTTGTATTGAAACTCCATACCACAATTTATCCATCTTAAACAATAGCAGCACAATAATGAGTGTCATCAGAATACTTTATTGATGACATTTTGTCCGATTTATTCATTAATACATCAATAAACTTCAATTATTGCAAATCCCATCTCATAATTTAAGATTATGATTGAGAAACTAATTGTAATCCATCAGATGAAATTAATATTGTTTGAATATAATCTTTATGGCCAGACATTTCTATTTATTATTGCTATATTGCTTTAAGATTCCAAAGTTTTATCTTATCTTGATTTACTTAGGCCAATAAATTTTAATTCAAAAGATTTAACTTACTAATAGAAGCAATATTAGGTTTAAACATAGAAATAAGTTTATATGTTTTAACGTCCCACAATTTAATTGAATCATCTCTGTATAAAGTAACAAAATTCATACTATCTGCAGAAAATGCTATTTATAAACATTGTTATGCATAATTTGAATTTTCTTCTATGGATTGTATCAATTAATTAGTCTTGAGATTATATAATTATATTTGATATTCTTATGGATTACAAGATATGCAAGTATTAAAAATTGCTAGAGTTTACTGTTTATTTATAGCCATATTTTAAATCTTTTGGGTATTTAATTTTTATTTTTAGATCATCTATTTTGTCTAAATATCAAATTAAGTTTAATATTCATTGTCTATTATTGTAAATGTTTTGCTGTCGGGAGAAAAGAAAAAATAACATAAAGAAACACTATGATAATCTATGAAATTGTAAACTTTCACAAAGTCGCTAAGAAGAGATTAAGTATATACTAATTTATCTATGCCTATTATGAAATATTCAGAATTTATTAAAATGAAATTTTTATTTGGTTTTTATAGTTAAAACATCTTATAAGAATTGATATCATCTAAAGTATGTAATGATACATATTATTCACTCCTAATTATGATTTAATTTGAATTATTAAATTAAACTATTTATAGAGGATCAAAGGGCAATGGAATCTCTTTAATTTTATTGATCTTCTCTATATTTTATATATCGTAAAGAATGAGTTTATAATTTAAACCAATTATCAATAAATCATCCAATGAATTATATAAAACTGAATGGCAGGATTATGATTCTTCCAATTTTTATATTGTTTGATTATTGTTTAATTATTTTATAATAGTTCCCTTAGGAGTACAAATAGCAATATAATTAGAACTTTTTATAAGTTCTAAATCATAGCATTTGGCAAATTCTTAATGAATTATTTTTTCACTACTTTCTAAAGCATACTATTCTTTTGTAATTTCATATAGGAAAATTTTATATTATGTTCTGGAAATCAAGTATTTATTCTCATAAGAATACAACAGTTTATTGACAATATCTATTACTTATACAGATAACAGTAACTCAAAATTATTGATATTCTTCAAACTCCAAAAATTAATTTTTTGTAAATCTACTCCTGCAGCTAGTACTTAATCATCATTAGAAAATGCTAATGAATAAGTTTTAAATGGTAATTTTGTAATTTCTTAATAATCTTAAAATGCTCTAATTGAAAAAATTAAGATTTCCGAACAGCCTATGGCTAATAATTTTGCATTATGTGAAACTTAAGTGCAGTTTATTTATGATGAAACTGTTAACTAATAATTCTTAGAGTTAGGATTTATTTATAAATCTTCTGTTTTCCAAATATTGTAGACAGAATTAATATTTTATGCAACTATATATTATGTATTAGGAGATAGTATAATAGTAGTATATTAATAATTTTATAGGGGAATTAACTTCTCCAAGACAAGATCATCGCATCTTAATATTTAAATGGATTATGTAGTTAAGCATGCTAGAATATTTTATTCTTCAGAGTATGAAGCAGTAAGGACTTATTAATCATTTGAAAATTAAAAAGTTATTGGATCTTTATCACCTTAGATTTACCAAATTTTAACTGTACCATCTAAACTCCCTGAGATTAATTTTTTTCCATCTTTAGAGAAAAATAGACTTTTTATTAATTGTTTGTGACCAATTAAGGTTTATTTCTCGTTACAAATTATATTTTCCCACTTAGCGTTTTCAATTGTTGTGCAAGTGAAATTGCATGATGAAATTGATACATTCCTGAATTTAGTTTAGTTTAAATTAGAATTAAAAAAATTAAGATTATTTAATTTTGTATCAGATAGAGTAACATTCATTAAATCTATATTATTTAAATTTTCTTATAAAGAACTTAAGAGATATATTGTATTTGATGCTGTTCTAATTAGTTGTTATTGGCTATTTGTATTCGATAATTGCGTAATTTAAAGTAGTTTATCCTTAATATTAGAAATAGTATTCAACTTTGGCTTTAATAATTCTATTGAACCTGAATAATGTTCTTAAGATATGTTAAATTAATCTGCATTAAATCGACTATTTTATAAATGTTTACCTACAATTTGAATATCCTTTTCTTCAAACATTGTTTCAAGCAAAGTTAAGATATATTTAGCTACGAAAAACTCTTATATTGATTTATGATTAAAAGTATATATGCTACCTTTCGAGGTTAATAATATACACTTTTTTATGAAATTACAATATTCAGAATTTGATTAATTTTCATCAAAGTAGTAATCTTCCCATGAATTTTAATTTTGTCCCTACTTAAAGTTTTCTTCTAGTTACAATTTACCTTTTTACTTGTAGTTCACTTAAGTAAGTTAATTCTTAGTCATATCAAGAGCTAAAAATAAAGAAAAATCTTGTAAATCATTTAAGGTAGTTTCATAATTAAATGTTTTCCCTAAGTCCTTCTAATTTTAAAGTTGTTGAATATGGTAAAATGATACAAATGTTTCATAAAAGTCATATGCAGTAAATTGATTAAGTTTAAATGCTCCAACAATAAAATTTGCATCTTTCGTTACATTAAAAACTTGTCTTGAAATTATTTTAGTAGGACCCAAATATTCTATTGGATAATCCATTGAAAAATTTTCAAAAAATTTTTAATTATCTAATTCATTTTCTATTATCTAAAATTATTCTAACAAATTTTAAGACTCTATCTATTTTTATGAAAATCTGATTATTTCAAAAAATTCTTCCTAATTTTCTGTTTATTCTTATTAAGTCTTATAATAATTTATTAATTAGTGTTACAAATAGGCTTCTTTTTGTAATTTTAAATATTATTTTTTTAAGGTGTCTCTTAAATAATTAGGCTCTGAGAATATCAAAGTCATCTTAGGTAATACATAGACAATCAATTCCATCATAAATGGAGTACTCATAAAATGATTTATATTCACATTTTTAATTACTGTTGTAAATTTTTATTATCCCCATAATTTAAGAAGCTCTTTTTTCAATGAGATCATTTAATCTATTCGAATATGATTAAAAAATTCAATAGCTTATAGTTTTATAATAATTTTATCTACATCTTGGGGATTGAATAAAAAATCTTAAGTTTATTTTTAATTAATAATTATGTTAATATCTTCTTCTAAAGGACTCCATATTAATTTGAATTCATTGATGGATATAGTTTATCCCCTTAATTATTTAAAAAATTGATAAAATCTTTTAATAGCTCTTTTAACACTGACTTCACAATATTACCTAATATATTCTGAGCTTTATTCTTATGTAAATGGTAGTATTTCTACTTCTTTTAAAGTATCAATACTCTTACCATAAAACCATGTTTAATATCCAATTGATGTTAAAATTTCTTCTCTTGTAGTTATAATTAATTTTACATTTTTTCCTGAAATTTGAAGATTTAAATCTTATGCCAATCTATTTGTTTAATATAAATTAGATTAAATGCATTGGAATTTCATTTCATCATAGCTTTCTAAGATCAATATAACTTTTAGATTTCCATTAAATACAGCTTCTTTAAATTCTCTAATTTATATCTTATCAAAATTATAATTTTGAGATTCTAAGGCTTATTCTAATAAATTATGCATTGGATCTTTCAAAGATGGTAATGAAACATAGATTGGAATCCATTAAGGAAGAACAGAATCATTCAACCAAAGAAATTCTTCTATATTTCTTGATGCTCTACTTTTACCTGAACCTGCTTTTCCTTTTAGAAGCATAACATCTTTTTGACTTTCATTTTCACACCATAAAAATTCATTGATTTCTCCTTAAAAATTATTATATTTTGATTTTAATAAATATGATGTAAATACTCCATTAATACTTTCTTTTTTCCTTCCTGTGACAGAGTCATATTCTTAAGTGTTAATTTAGATATGAACTTAATCTAATTCTGCTTCCATTTTTTATTTCAATATTTTTTCTTTTCTAATTTATAATAGTTAAACATAATTTTTACCACTCAATCTTCGAACATCATCTTCTATTCCTTTAACACTTGAAAGTACTTAATCAATTGAAGATTTAATTGACTTTAGATCTTTGCTAATTTCTCTTAAAAAAATGAGACTGATATCCATTCTTTATGACATATCCATAACATTATCTAAATAGTTTTCAAAATCTTCATAAGCTTATTAAAGTTAATTCTTCATTATTGCTTAATTATCACTGATTAAAACTTAAGTTTCTAATTGCTCTATATTCTTCAATCTTTTCTGCATTTCTATCTTCAATTTATTTGAAAATGTAGCAAGATCTTGTGAAAATAATTTTTTCTACATTTCAATCATCTCTTTATTTTTTAAAATACTTCTTACACTGGCATCTTTTTCGATAGTCCATATCTATTTCAAGAGTGATTAGCAAAATTCTTAAATTATAGGTTCATGCAAAAATGATTACATCTTAATTAGATTGAATACTGCTGCTTCTCTAACTTTATATGAAGATTCTGCAAGAAAACCATTTCCTGAGACATTATTTTCTATCTTTAAATTTTAGAGCATAAAAGTATATGCTTTGTCAATAATAAATTCTTAATTAGTATTATTACTCTTCTAGTAGAGAAAGGAGGATCCTTCAGATATAATCTATATGGTTGTTTTTTAATCAATGCAAGGATTTTCTGATAATTATGTTAAAAAATTTTCATTGAAAACAATCTACTTTGATTCAGCTATCTTACTTAAAAGATTAATCAATTCAATCCTCAAATCAGAATATATTTCAAAATAATTTTAATTAAATGTATCATTCGTGAATTCTATTATTGGTTTTTGAAATTAAACTTAAGTTAATTATATATTCTCATTTCTTTATTCAATAATTTTGTTTATTTATTTGAAATTCTAAATTAACTATTATATTTAAGATATAGATGAATCCCAATTAAAAAGATTTTCAGAAATTATACAATCTTATATTTTAAATTATTTGTTTAATTATTGAATGTCATTATTTGTTATACTTAACAATTCTATCTAAACTAGTTGTTATTATTATTATTCTTCTTATCTTATTTCTTCCAATTATTTATTGAAAAGACATATTATTTCCATGATAAATGACTATTAATTACGTTTTAGCAATTAAAGTATCTATAGTTTATTTTTAATTTCCTTGAATTTCAAGATATGCTTGCTTTTAAATTCTTCAGACCAATTTTACTTATAAATTAAATCAATCCCATCATCTAATGATATTATAATTTCATTAAAATCTACTTAGTGAATATCACTTTATATTTTAACCCCAAATTTATCATGTAATTTTTATAATAATGTTCTTTTTTCAATTATTATCTTTTCTAAAAAAGTTTTAATATTTTGCTAATCTTTTATTTGATCCTATTATTGGATATTCACTTTTGTATTTTCGTTATCTTTTGAAGTATTTAATGAGACAACTTTTTTTTATTTAAGAGCTAATAATTGCTTTAAAAGTTGTAAAATCATTATAATTTACTTGCTCACTATTCTATGTTATCTGAGATCAATTTAGGATAATTCTTTTTGTTGAATAAAGCATTTGTTATAATACTCAACAAATTCACCTCCTAATTATTAAATAAAGTAGAAATTATATATATTAATTAGTATCTAAGATTGAAATCTTTATGAAATTCTTTCTTATAAAAATAAATTAACTTATTTTGATTCATATATTTTTAAAAATTTTCGTTTAATTGATTTTTATTAAATGATATACTTATCAACATAATTAACAAAAATTGTTAATGCCTCTTAAAGTTATTATTAATCAAATTTACATTCTTGAATTCTAATATTTGATGTTTCAGACATAAAATTTGTGGAATTCACTTCATCCTAATATATTGACAATATGTGGAATATTTAGATTAAATACAATGGAAATTTTTTAAAGTTAATTATATATTTTTATTCATATTATTATTCCAATTCTTTAATAATTTATATTATTGAAATTTAATATGCTAAACTCTTTTCTTTAAAAAATTATTTATTTTAAATTAATATATTCTGAATTATTTCAATAGCTTATCTTTCTTAATTTATTATAATATTTAATTCATATAAATTATACACAAATGATTAGCTATATAATTTAATCTACTTAATTGTATATTTAATATCATCTTTTGATATTTAATTGTTTAGATTTGATTAGATTTTTTAAATATTTGGTGTAAATTATTAAATTATAGTTTCAAAAAGACTAATTAATTAATCCTTTGAAGATTTTAAATTATCATTTAATATTGTTACTATTTCCAAATTTGATTCACTTATTAACTTTTTAATATTTAAGTCCTAATCATTAACTAATTCTCCCTTTGGCTTATTAAATTAAAATATTGAATAAGAGGGCAGCAATTAAAATTTTTCTTAAATATCTAATAAATATTCTTAAAATAGTATTAATTATCGAAATTCTTTCAAATTGAGGTTATTTTTTTTCCCAAAAATTTGAAGTTTACCTGATGCTTTATCATAAGGTAATTATACAATTTAATTTGAAACTATTAATTCATTCCAATTTAGTTAATTAGAATTTTAAGTTTGATTAAGTGAAAATTTGTTTACAATTGGTCTATAAGACATCAAATCAGATATAAATTTAACCCAACAAAAATGTATCATCCAATCTTTAGATGGCTTTATATATAAATTAAATCCATCCAAAACAGTGTTAATTGTTTTTTATACAGAATACCCAAGTTTCAATTAATTAATTATCGACCATTTTAAATTTTCAAAAAAGTAGTATATTTCATATTTTTGAAGTGGATGCTAAATTTACTTATCATAAAAATTTAGAAGTAAATACTTGCCTGCTTCTATTAAAGCATCAATTAATTCAGCACTTGGAGATAACTAAGAAATTGAACTCGCTACTCCACATACTATGGCAATTACTAATTCTTTTTCCTTCTCAGAATTAGTTCTACAATGAGCAATACATGTCTTAATCAATTAAAGTTCAAATTCGACTCCATTTTTCCATATATTTATTGATTCTACACTGATTTATGATTCTATTTCTGATATTATTTCAAGCAGACTTTGCTTTAAACTTTCTTACATATACCTATCCTCATTCTTTAATTAAAAAGAAAATATGACTCTAAATAGATCATTACATATATCTAGCAATTAATAAAACAAAAACCCCGAAAGTCTTATATATATTATCAACTATTTTAATAATATTTCTGCACATGTCTCAATGAGTTGATAATATATTTAATTTAATTAATCATCATTACAAAGAATTTAAAAATATTCTTTATGATTGTAAAACCATTAAAATGATGACAATATTTCATCTTAATTTATTTTATCAGAAAAAGTTGAAGATTTTTTAGATATAATATTGGTGTGATCTTTGATATTTGAGGAAAAATTAATTGGAAGTTTATTATTTAATTTTGTTACTTAATTCAAAGGATTTTTTGTAGCTACACAACCTCCTCCTCTTAATCTAGGAATAATATCAAACATAAATAAGTTTTGTATTTCTGTTTATTGAATATTTTAACAAATCTCTGATCTTATTTAATTATTATGGATGTAATTTTGAGGTTTTAAGTCTTTATCATTTGTTTCAGCCAGATCTATTGGTAATGATGGAGTCATTTTTATATTTAAAAATAATAATAAATTTATCAAATAAATCTTTCCATTATGAAATCTCTGCTCTATATCATAGTACGCATTATTATAATATTACATCAATCTAACTTTAAGAAATGTGTAATTATTATACTGCAGCAATCTTAATACTCCTTACAATAATCTACAGTGAATCTTAAGTCATATCTATTAGTAAATATTAAGGGATGAATATCCTTTATGTTCAATCTTATTTTTTACTTTTGAATTCAGTTGAAAAAACCTCAACAATCAGTTGAAGATAGAAATTTCATTTATTTGCATTTAATGACTCGTATTAAGTCATATTCAAGGTTTTTCAAAAATTTGCTCATACTATCGAATAAGCTTTCAGTTCAATTTCTTTCTGGTTAAAAATTTTCCCTTTTTTTACCAAGGTCAAATAATAATTTATTTTTTCTTTAAAAAAATTTTTTTGTTGCTCCTTTAATATTGATTTCCCCAAGAATCTGAATTTTATCTTTAATGTGCCTTGAATAATGTTTTTTATTTAGCTAATAGTCATTAATTGTTTTAAGAATATAACAACACTATAGAATATTTAAATATTTATTCATTTCATTTTATGATTATTTAGTTTTAGATTACATAAGAAATGGAGAAGCTATTATGTTACCAAGAAAATACTAGAAGAGAACTATATGTTGAAAAAAAATATAAATATTTTATTAAATACAGTTTAATGATGATTGTAAAGATGATCAGATACTATTCATTTACACCATAAAGTTTAATCTTTGTTTGAAATTCTCAAATTAACTTACAATTCTTTAAGTGTGAATGTTACTCTTCATAAGTACCAATATAATAATAAGCAAATAAAAAAATGAGAATAAAGTATAAATAATGGAAAAATTAAAAAATTAAATTAATTGGTGAACCATGGATAAAGGTTGGGTGATTTGTTAAAGAATGAAAAACTTTATTCCTACATTTCGCATTATGAATAATAATTATCTGGTCAAGAATTCATTCAAATTATTAATCTAAAAAGAAAATTTGAAACAACAAGGATTCAGCAGAAAAACAAATATATTAGAATAGATGGAATAATAACATTATCTTTTTTAATGTAATTTTTCTGTTTATCTCTACACCACACATAATTTGATAAAATTACAAATACATTCTATTTATACAAGCTATTTTTATTATATATCCTAGCCTTTGCTCTATCTATAATACAATTATAATCTAAGTCTAAGAGAGAAAGAGTATCCAATTTACAATTTGATTCAATCTGGTAATAGGTAAGTAATTTTAGGCAAAATCTAGATGGAAGATATTGGAGTATGATTTAAAATTAAGGGATCTAGCTTTCATATTTCTAAGCAAAGTTCTGATTCTTGTATTTAACTCTAATATCACTTTAAGTCAGATATTGTCATTATTACTTATTTATGGTTGATCTTGAGAGGATATTAATTATTCAGGAATATATTATTAAGTCACTCGATCATTTTATTATTATTATTATAAATATAACACAAATTAGTGATCAAAATTATATTAGATAAGTATCAATTTATCAATTAGATTCCTTAAACACATTAGCTAGATTACATATTAATTCAGAAACATGAAACTAGAATACTAATTAATTAATACAAAATATGCATCACCTTAATTATTAGATGAAAAATAAAAATTTACAAATTCTGCAGACATTTTTTCTGTAATGAATGAAATTATATGACAAGCTTGGAATTGTATGCTATGAACTTATTTTTGGATGTTTACCATACAAAGTTAATAATTATTACTAACTAATCTAACANATACAGTTTAATGATGATTGTAAAGATGATCAGATACTATTCATTTACACCATAAAGTTTAATCTTTGTTTGAAATTCTCAAATTAACTTACAATTCTTTAAGTGTGAATGTTACTCTTCATAAGTACCAATATAATAATAAGCAAATAAAAAAATGAGAATAAAGTATAAATAATGGAAAAATTAAAAAATTAAATTAATTGGTGAACCATGGATAAAGGTTGGGTGATTTGTTAAAGAATGAAAAACTTTATTCCTACATTTCGCATTATGAATAATAATTATCTGGTCAAGAATTCATTCAAATTATTAATCTAAAAAGAAAATTTGAAACAACAAGGATTCAGCAGAAAAACAAATATATTAGAATAGATGGAATAATAACATTATCTTTTTTAATGTAATTTTTCTGTTTATCTCTACACCACACATAATTTGATAAAATTACAAATACATTCTATTTATACAAGCTATTTTTATTATATATCCTAGCCTTTGCTCTATCTATAATACAATTATAATCTAAGTCTAAGAGAGAAAGAGTATCCAATTTACAATTTGATTCAATCTGGTAATAGGTAAGTAATTTTAGGCAAAATCTAGATGGAAGATATTGGAGTATGATTTAAAATTAAGGGATCTAGCTTTCATATTTCTAAGCAAAGTTCTGATTCTTGTATTTAACTCTAATATCACTTTAAGTCAGATATTGTCATTATTACTTATTTATGGTTGATCTTGAGAGGATATTAATTATTCAGGAATATATTATTAAGTCACTCGATCATTTTATTATTATTATTATAAATATAACACAAATTAGTGATCAAAATTATATTAGATAAGTATCAATTTATCAATTAGATTCCTTAAACACATTAGCTAGATTACATATTAATTCAGAAACATGAAACTAGAATACTAATTAATTAATACAAAATATGCATCACCTTAATTATTAGATGAAAAATAAAAATTTACAAATTCTGCAGACATTTTTTCTGTAATGAATGAAATTATATGACAAGCTTGGAATTGTATGCTATGAACTTATTTTTGGATGTTTACCATACAAAGTTAATAATTATTACTAACTAATCTAACAATTAAGACAATTAGAATTTAATCCAGTTAAAATTAATCGATCTATACCTGGGGTAAATTCAATTTTATTCTTTAGATGTATGAAGACATTGCAAATTTGATTGAAAATATGTTGAAATATCATGAAAGTTAAAGAATCAGTTGGAATAGTTTATTTTCTCATCATTTATTAAGTGAAAGACTAAGCACTCCAATCTAATTCATTAGACCACAAGTTAATCCATAGACGAATAAAATGTAAATCAATAAAAAATTGAACCAAAAATTGAACCAAAAATTCAATAACCACTTCCACCTAATCTTAGCATCCAATAAACTCCGGAAGTATCAGATCAACTTTTTAGAATTGCAGCATTTATGAATAATGTTTTAGATTCTCTAGATAAGCATTTGTATATTGTTATTTCATTTTAGGAATCAATAAAAATAAATACATGCTGATATGATTAAAATAAAGTAACAATTATATTATTGTACAAATGATATTGAATTTAATATTTGAAGTATTAGCTCATTAATATCTTTCATCTTGTTTTTATGAACATAGTAAAGCAATGAAAAATAAGTCATTACCTTTTCAGAAATAAATTTATACTTTAATGGATATTGAAACTGCCATAAAAAAGTTGGATTAAGTAAAATAATTACTTAAGGATCAAATAAACAATTATAATTTATCAACAAGTTTTCCTTTGAAAGAAACTGTGGCTGATTTCAATATTTATTTTACCTAATTAAATAGTTTATTAGCAACCTAATTTTTATTTCCATACACCAATAAATGCAGTTACTATTTAGAATATTTGCAGTATATTATTTATATTTATGTATCAAGGTTGCTTTATTGTTTGTCAAGATTTAAAGAATTAAAAGATGTGAGAGACTTATTTGCAATATTTAAATTAATTATGGATATTTAGAGCTAATGACAATAAGAGACTGTGATTAGAAAAACATTGGATTCTAAAATGAATAATTGATGTAGTTAATTAAAAATAGTTATATATGTTTCTTATTATATTTCATGTTTAATTTATAGAAATTCACTAGGATTACAAGCAATTTTAAAGTTCTATTAAATAATAGTCAATTTTTATAAGAGCCTTAATAAACCTTAATATATATTCAAATTTTTTCATTTTATATAAAAAATATAAATTTCTTTTATTTTGTAATAAAAATTAACAATGATTATTTATAAATTAGATAAACAACCTTTTCTTTTTATCTCAGTTCCTTTTATTTTACAATTGCTAATTAATTAATAGCTAGAGTAAAAATTATTTATATATTTCTTCCACTCATGTAGTAATTAATATAAGAATTGGAAATATTTCCCTTTTTATAAATGGTTTTCTATTTGAGAAAAACAATCACTTTATATATAATTATAATATTTGCAAATTATAACACCTTAATTGTTAAATTAGTTTATATTAAGTTTTATATAATGAACAATTCAAAATTTCAAATTTCAAATTGCAGATGCGCATAACAATAATTTAAACATTATACTAATAAAGTAACATATACTATAAATTTATCTCAATGGATTATTAAATAGTTAAATACCAAATACACATTGTTGAAAAAAAACAATTTTCAAATTTTAAATTACCACCAAAATATCATGGATGACATAGTGATAAAATTATCATCAATATTGGATGAATTATATTAATCCACTAATAATTACTCAATTAACGGTCAAACAATCTTCAGAAGATCAAACATGAACTAATGTAAAAAATTTTTTTAATAATCAACTACTGCTAGTTTATAAAGCTCTTAAATATCAAGAAATTACAATTTAACTAATCAATCAACAACTTTTGATATTTTTTCAATTATTAAACCAACAGATGAGATTTAAAAACTCAATAATCAAAATACTATAAATATTGAATTAAACTCAAAAACATTGAATGAAAAAACAAAAGATAGTCAATAACCTTTATTATGAAAAATATATTTGATTCTGATAAAATTGATAAAAAATAAGAAATTTAATAACCAAGCTATACGAAATCTATATTTGATTCTGATATTAGTAAGCCAATACTTAAGTGCTAATCAACAATAAGTTCAAACATCAATGAAAATACATAAAAATATAATAGAATTTAAACAATGAAAACATAAAATCAATTAAGTCAACCAAGTTTAATGGAACCTATAAATTAGGAAAAAATGAAAAAATAATCTGAACAGCTACCAAATTTAGAAAATATTGAAAAATTTCCATAAGGTCAAAAATTAGAGAATAATTAACTGATTTAATATATGTATGCTGTTCCCTGAATAAGGGTTTATAATAATAATAATAAATTAGTTTAATCAAATTGAATAATGTTTAAAAATAACAAATTAAAAACAGGAGAAGAATAATAAATATTATATTTCAAAAGGCAAGTCCCAAAAACAATGAAACTTAACTAAATTTAATAAAACAATCTAAATTATTTATTTACTATTGGTTATATACAGGCAAGAAAATCCAATCAAACGAATTTAACTGAATAAATCACTTAATGTAAATTTTGAAAAAATGATTTGACTCTATCATTTATTTATTTTTTGTGTTGTTATTATTTCATTCTAATTTATCAAATAATATTAAAAATAATTGTATTTGTTAATTCTATCAGAATTAAAATAATAAAATATATATAAACAATAAATTCAATAAAATATTCATTAATATACAATTTAATGTTTTAGATTCCATGCCTTCCTGGCCATGATAATGTAGATTTTTTTTGTGTTGATGAAAATTGCAAGGATAACAGATGTTATTGTTTTAATCAATGTATTAAGAATGATAAACAGCATAATCATGATTCTAAATATCTGTTTAAAATAGACTAATTACCTAATTATTTAAATGACATCAATAAATTATTTTAATAGATTATAAAAGATTTAGATAAAAAGTTTGAAGATCTTTGTTATTAATTAAAATAATTAAAAAAACATCTTTCAATTGCATTTGAATGGAAGTTAGATAAGTTAAAATGTTTAAAGGGAAATAATATCAAAATTGCTTTGAACAATTTGATTAGGATTAAAGAATATTAAAATAGGTTAAATATGATATTAAATGAAAATGTTTAACTATTATCTCAAACACTCAAAGAATGTATTGTAGACTTATAACTAAAAGATGTAATTCATTAAATTATAAAGTAGATGAATGTTTTCTAATTTTATCAGTTGTAGGATTGTAATATTAATGAAAAGGAAATATGTAATGCGATAAATGTAAATTACGATTTCTCAGTAATTATTTGTGCATTTAAAAGCTTCATCAAAATTTATGAATTTAAACCGTAATCTTTTTAAGAAATATAAAAAATAAATATGGATGATGATGTTGAATAGTTAACTTTCATTAATCAAACAAATAAATTTATCGTTTTCAGTTATGATAGAGAAGGTTAAATTTTTTCAAAAGTTTAAGATTGTTGGAANCATAAGGTCAAAAATTAGAGAATAATTAACTGATTTAATATATGTATGCTGTTCCCTGAATAAGGGTTTATAATAATAATAATAAATTAGTTTAATCAAATTGAATAATGTTTAAAAATAACAAATTAAAAACAGGAGAAGAATAATAAATATTATATTTCAAAAGGCAAGTCCCAAAAACAATGAAACTTAACTAAATTTAATAAAACAATCTAAATTATTTATTTACTATTGGTTATATACAGGCAAGAAAATCCAATCAAACGAATTTAACTGAATAAATCACTTAATGTAAATTTTGAAAAAATGATTTGACTCTATCATTTATTTATTTTTTGTGTTGTTATTATTTCATTCTAATTTATCAAATAATATTAAAAATAATTGTATTTGTTAATTCTATCAGAATTAAAATAATAAAATATATATAAACAATAAATTCAATAAAATATTCATTAATATACAATTTAATGTTTTAGATTCCATGCCTTCCTGGCCATGATAATGTAGATTTTTTTTGTGTTGATGAAAATTGCAAGGATAACAGATGTTATTGTTTTAATCAATGTATTAAGAATGATAAACAGCATAATCATGATTCTAAATATCTGTTTAAAATAGACTAATTACCTAATTATTTAAATGACATCAATAAATTATTTTAATAGATTATAAAAGATTTAGATAAAAAGTTTGAAGATCTTTGTTATTAATTAAAATAATTAAAAAAACATCTTTCAATTGCATTTGAATGGAAGTTAGATAAGTTAAAATGTTTAAAGGGAAATAATATCAAAATTGCTTTGAACAATTTGATTAGGATTAAAGAATATTAAAATAGGTTAAATATGATATTAAATGAAAATGTTTAACTATTATCTCAAACACTCAAAGAATGTATTGTAGACTTATAACTAAAAGATGTAATTCATTAAATTATAAAGTAGATGAATGTTTTCTAATTTTATCAGTTGTAGGATTGTAATATTAATGAAAAGGAAATATGTAATGCGATAAATGTAAATTACGATTTCTCAGTAATTATTTGTGCATTTAAAAGCTTCATCAAAATTTATGAATTTAAACCGTAATCTTTTTAAGAAATATAAAAAATAAATATGGATGATGATGTTGAATAGTTAACTTTCATTAATCAAACAAATAAATTTATCGTTTTCAGTTTATATGATAGAGAAGGTTAAATTTTTTCAAAAGTTTAAGATTGTTGGAAATGTTAATAGACAATTCGACCTCCAGTTTCCCTCGTTATTCTTTTATTTGGAATTCACTACTAAAGGTCATTAATAATGACCAACGATGGAACTATAATTTTGTTCCTTTCCTCAAACTGCTCTAGCAATGTAATGATTTTAATATATAAAAATCATTCTTATTAAGAGTGGAAACTTCTAAGTTTTGAAAGACTTTAGATGAAGTCCTATATTTTTAATACTGACATGAATGAATCAGAGAATTTAATTATTTTGAGCAATAAATAAAGTATCTAGATCATTTAGAAATAAAATCAAGTAGTAAGATTGGATAATATACAGGTAATTTAAACTTCAGAAAGCAATCCTTATGCCAAATTTATAAAGGATAATTAATTTATTTCTTCTGAACACTCTCATTTGTGTATCTATAAATAAAACAATAACAATTAAATGTTTGAAAAAATAAAAAAAGTAAATTTAAATTTTGGAATGGATTTATCTGATGGTATCAGAATTTTACAATTTAATAAAATAAAAAAGTTCTTATTAATTTCTATTAACTCGGTACTGCATATAATTAGAATTTGTGATAATGAAGATTTGAAAATTGAATATTGTGTTGAAGATAGCAATAAATGTGGAATGATCAGTTAAAATGGAATATATTTAGTAACATAAAACTAAGAATAAAAATAAATTACAATAAGGTAGCTTTAAGAATGAATATTACGTATTAAATAATTTCATTTATAATACATTTAAGACCTATTTTTCTAAATAGTTTGTAGTATTATAAAGAACAATATTTAAGATGTTCGAAAAGTTAAAAATAGAAAAATGTATTAATAAGTAATCTAAAATTATAAATTTTATGTTAAAGAAAAGAGTATAATTATTTTTTTTATTTTAAAGTAAATTTAGATGCAAGATATCAATTCATATGTATTTTCATTTAATCTTATATTATATCATAAGCTATATAATTGCCTGTTATGCATATTAGAGAAGGTGTTTATTTCATATTTTCTAATTATACTTATGGTTGATCAATTAGATATCCTTAGTATTTTAGTTTCAAAATTATTCAACCTTGTTAACATTATTCAATTTTTATATCTTTTTTTGTTAAAATTATTAAAGACATTAGGAAAATTTCAATCTTAAATTATAATCCAAAAAATGATTATAATAATCCTATATCAGTATGTCAAGCATTGTCCCAGAACTTCAACGTGTCCTTCCCTATGTCAAAATTGAATCCATTAAGTCTTATTCTACTTCTATATTTTACAGTGAAAATTGTTTTAGTAATGCAAAATATACAAAAATATATAAATTTGACATATATAAATAATATATGATAAATAGGAACTAAATTCTAAATTTTAATCTGTTTTATTAAACTAATACTTCTTAATAAATAAATTTTCTATTTCCTAAATTCTGATTAAATTAATTCTTCTATGACAATCGCCTTAAAGTATCTTCTAAAAAAATCAAATTAATGCTCTATTAAGACTTATTCTGATAAAGCTTACTAGTTTAAATCCAATCTTAATCTTGGTATTATATTTGGGTGTTTAAAATAAATCATTTTAACCATAGTAATAAAACACTATGATATCATTTTAATAGTCCTTTTGCCTTCCCCTTTTACTAATCTTACTTGCTTAATAAAATCTATATATGCTCTGTTTTTATGAATATAATAGAAGATTATAATATATTTATATTGATCTTCTAGACATGATATAAAACTCAATTTTAATTTTTAACAAATATCCAAAGAAATCATAATTTAATTTATTCTAAAATTTGCTTTTTAAATTCATGAAATAATACCATATTATCCTTAATGTATTTTTTAAATAATTTTATTTTAATAATATAATGTTATCTTATTAAAATCAATTTTGTATCATAATTTTGTTTCGATAGTGCACTTAAAAAAGATTTAAGAAATAAAATCAATTATATAAATTATTAGTACTTAATATTTTGTTTAGTTTAAATTTTTAATAATAATTATTTTATTCATTTATAATAAATTTCATGAATTTAAAATTAAAATGTCTTTTTATTCCAAATTACAAAATATCTTCCATTATTAGTTATATTACTATAACATTCAATTGATTAACAATCAATAGGATCACAAACAAACATTAAATTTGAATTTAAACTTACTTTCATAAAGTATATATATCTATAAGACTTAAATATTAAGACTTTTTATTATTCTAAATATTTTAACTAAAATAGATTGAAGCCTATATAGTTATTTTCAGTAATAATTTCTTTTAATTAAACTTTCAGATCTGACCTTTCTTAAAATGTTCCATTTTACAATTTGAAAACATGTAAAAATAGTTATTTATATTAACACCAAACAATAGTATCTGATAAAAAACAGATTCTCAATCCAAAGTCTTGATTTGATTATTTAACAATATATTTAAATTACCACTTATTATTTCCATCCTTTTTCCATAAAATAATTTTTTAATCCCATCCACAAGATACCATTTAAGTTTCTTTTGAATTTAGGTTTACTTTATCAACATAGCCTTCATGTTTGTTAAGGGAATATAAGAACTAAATTTTATATGATTTGCATTCCACTTTCCATATCTTAATAGTAAAATCTCCACTTCCAGATATTAATTCATCTTCATTTTAATTTAAATGCAAACATAAAATAAATGATTTATATGCATCTATTAATTTTCTATCATTTTACAAATTTCCATTTAATTTAAGAATATAAACTAATTTTATTAATTCTATACATCATTGTTATCTTATAATTATATTAAACATTTGATAAAATTAAAGTATAGTCTCTTTCATCCACTAAAAATTCATGCTAATAACTTTAAATGTTCCATTAAAAGATATTACTTAATTATAAATTACCTATAAAGAGTATGAAATAGATATTACTGATAGAAAATAAAGATAATTTATGGAAGATAAAATAACACATTGAACTTTAATGAAAAGTAAATAAAATCTAAAAAATAAATAATATTAATTTTAATGATCATATAAAACTTATCAAAAGTAGAACTAGTTTCTATTGTTTATTACCATTTCTAATCTTTATATCATTAAATTTTAGAATATTAATTAAGGGAAAATGATTGTAGATTAAGTATTAAATTATTAAGATTTTATTTATTATTCAATTTTAAATTTTACAGTTATGACTATGAATGACAAATATCCAATTTGAAGTCATCTAAATAATGGAGTAATACAATACAATTGAAATTATTTTATATAAATAATCAAAGAATTTATAATTACTTAAAAGTCTTTAGATTTAAATATTATATATTAGATAATATAAAATACTAAATAGACAAAGAATTAAATAAGTTTATATCCATATCAATCAAGTTTTCTATTTTTTTGTTCAAATATATAAATAATATCATAATTATTTAGTAATTTCATTTTCTAACTTTAGCAAAAACTCTATTAGGAATACTCATTTCCAACTTATATTCCATCCCCCATTGATTTCAATTATTATATCTAATTA